TTGGGTTTATATATTAATTTTGAAATTATTTATTAATGTTAACTTGAGTCAATATTCGATTTCATTATTATTATTGATGTTGTGGTACGAAAAGTAATATACTTATTTAAAAATTTTGTAATATATTTGTTACTAAAATCTATGTATCCTTATGCGTAGATATATTGTAATTGCTATATTTTTGATATTTAGAGTTTATATTCCTATTTTATAACGTAATTAAAAATATAAACTGATTCTTCAAAAGAATATTACGAAGAAATTTTTGATATATGAAATCATAGATGCTATATAACATACTTAACGCTCAAATGTACTAATTTTTTCAATTTTTCTACATCATACTTACATACATACTTACAAATCAACAAATAACACAACAATAAAAGAAACCAAAAAAAGTATTAAGTAGAATATATGGCACAATTAAGACTAAGAATCATTATCTTTTAATACTATATTTTAATTACTGTCATTTATTTTGTATTGTATAACTCAAATCCATGTATTCAAAAAGTTTTTGAATACATTTCGGTATAAACTTTTAATTTTGGAAATTTTTCTTTTAATCCATTAAAGCACTCACTTGATATGTTTCATGCAAACGATTAAAAAAAATATGTCAAATAATATGCAAATATGAAAAACCAAAAATATGCACGAAAATATGGTAATAAACATACTTTTTATATTAAATTCTATTTCACAAAAATAAAAATATGAAATATAAAAACTTCTCATAACAAAATGCTTGCATGCAATGCAAGTCCTTATTTGTATATCCATCCACATCCACATACACTGAAAAAAATGACATGCTAAGCGTTTGACGTGCATTTATTGAAATTTAATTTGAATCAAAGTCATGATACCTTCGTGCCTACAAACTTAACATGAGAACTAACACGGATTTCAAGCATCAATCACAGCCAATCTTGTTCTTTTTTGTTAATGCTTTCATGTGATATATTAGCTGTTAAAACTTTAATTAATCATTAATAGTAAATGTTTTTCACTTCTTTATTGCGTTATCATCAGAGGAATTTCGGATGATACGCACAAAGTCACAAGGTTAAATTAAAGTGAATTCAACCAAATTCACATAATTTCTAATTTTTCTAACTAAACTTTGTGGGCTCCAGCGTATGGTGCTTACCGACTGACAGGGAAATTAATTAAAATTAAATATTAACACCTTTCGTTAGATGAATCCCAGCGAAGCTTGAAACGCATAAAACTGATATATAAACACACTTTTTCACTTACTTGTCGGATGTGCATTTGGTATTTAAATTGGCCTGTCCTGGGTATTCTTTACGCAACACTGCGTATGAGTTACATATGGTATACACTGAGAGTAAAGTTTTTATCTTTTTAAAAGACATTTACGTTTTATTTTAAATAAAATTTATATTTGGATTTTAAGTTTGCGTGAAAAATTTCTAATGATATTTAATAAAGTATATATAAACTGGATTCATGTATTGCAATTAGTTGAAAAATTGATCTTGAAGTGCATTAGTAGATACTTAAATTTTTCATATTTCCATATCCTTAAGTTAGAAGGAACGGATCAGTCATAAAAGTCATAAAATGTTGCTAGGTAAATAATTTATTTACATAGTTTAAGCCTGTCACCATTGAATCCTATTAGTGATTACTTGTACATTTTAAGCTGCAATATATATTTATTTAGAAAGATTTGTTGGATACAATTTTCAAGTCTAAAATACAAAATCTATACTGATTTGAATATGCAAACAAATCACCACGGTAGTTCATGACTATATTCTTGAAAGCATTGATAATGTTCGGATGATGTTCGGAGTGTCAGTTAAGAAGTTTACAATCTGAAATTGATATGATATTACGGTGTAATATTGTGATTAAGAAAATATGAAGTTAGAGCTAGGTAATTTTGATATGAATTTTACGAAAAATATGTTAAGTTAAATAAGCTAATTAACGATGAAAATACAGATAAATGGTTGATTTTAGTAGCTAAGAAATTTTATGAATATGAGAGCATGCCAATTTAAATCTGTGCTATTGAAGAAAGTTATGTTTTACCAAGTTAAAGCACTGTGCCGCAAGTCATTTATTATGATCAACAAATTCATGTCTTGCTTTTCTGTTTTTATTAAATCCAGTGATTACTAGAGAAGTTTCGAACAATAGTAAACTACAACAAGAAAAATTATTTTTATATTATTTCAATTAATTGATTTTTTGGCTGACCATACAGCTGTTTCGAGTTTTGCCAAATACCTTTCATCAGTGGTCTTGAAAATAATTCTTGCATTTAATTAATCGTACCATTAACATTTTTTATACAAAAAAGATATTACTTTAATAAATAAGTTATATACCAAAAAGGTTATTTTGATGCATCGTAATAAAAAGGTTATTTTGATGATGAACGAATCGTAATATTAGAGAACTATTAAAATAATTATATTCATGTTGGTATTGATTTTTTCAAAAAGTCATTACTGCAGCGAGCTTTTGTCATGAAATTAAAAAGAAAAATATGGAAGATATGTGGCTTCAACAGGACGGTGCCACAAGATATACAACTAAGATCATGTGTCACTATTGGACTTTTTCTGAGGTTATAGATTCATCAAATTATGATGTTTATGCAGATAGTTTTCACACTGTCGATGCTTTGAAAACAAACTTTTGAACGATACTTTTTTAGTTAATGGTAAGATCTAAAAAATATATAGAATTAAAAATTTGATCAAAATTTTCAATTATAAATATCTTTGATTTACGTTTGTTTGCTTTACGAATCTCAATTTGAATACATCCTACGATATAGCACAAAAATGATTATTACTTCTTATTAATTACTTCTTAAATTAATTATATCAATAACTTAAACTAAATGAGAACTAGGTACATATTTATTTAAAATACTACTGCGATTATATTATGATAATAGATTTGCTAATAATTATTTTAATAATTTAAACTTAATTTAAATTGGGTTCATATTTCTTAAAAATAGGTTACATTAACTTCGATACTTGAAATATATGTGCTTATTTGGTTATTTAAAAATATCGAAAGATTTACTATCATTTCAAATACTTAATAAAATATGATTGAAATCCTCTGAAAATTAATCTTCTAGCATTAAGTCAACACTCTATGATCGCTGGACAATGCTAAAGCATTCATACAACATTTATTCATCTATCTTATAATCTCCTGCTAAGATTACCTCATCGGCAGTAGCGAGGCGTCAGTTTTTTGGCAAGGTGTTCACAATTTGATCAAAACAGAATTCTAACTATAACCAGTAGTGAGGCGTCAGCTTTTGGCAAGGTGTTCACAATTTGATGAAAACTGAATTCCAACTATAACGTATTCCCCCTACTCCTGAGTTTTGTCCTTTCCACAAATAGCGTACAAGACCAACAAAACAATTTATTTAAATGTTCGCAGCCTGTGATCCACTGGTTTTTATGGTAAATAGCTGTAGGAAAACGGCGACTTATCACAGATTTCGACATTTTTACATGAGGTACCAAATTCTTCATATCTGGAGTTAGTCTGTTCATTTTATGAATTAAAACCTTTTTTTCAGAAGATCGTTTAAAAAATGATATTTGAATCAAATTTTTAATCACACATTTATCCATTTCTAAATATTATTTTTCATTTCAAATTTCTAGTATAAAATTGCAATAATGACTTTGTTTTTGGTTTATTTCGAACCTCTACATAAGAGTAAGAAACTCTCATGCATTCATTTACTCTTTTACTTTGTATTTACTATACTCGTTTCAGTTTTTTAACTGAACCATTTGCCCATATAAAACGGCAACCGTGACTTTGATTGTATTTGCACGCTTTGTATGAACTTCGGGTTCAGTTTAATCGACTGAACCTCTCGTCAAATGTAAAGCGATTTTGTCTCAGTCATTTCTTTTCTCTTTTGTATTTACTTTGCATAACATTGGTGGTTTAATTTTTTTATTGAACCGCTTCCACGCATTAATTCAAGAGTTATGATTATTTTACGTACATATTTTGCGGGGCTTGTTTTCTTTGTGTTTATGT